ATGATTATGATGCTAAAATAGTAGTAAACCAATTCAAGACTGGGGGCATAGGAAGGGCAAAAAGAGAGAAAAGGACAGAGCAATCCTAGCTGCATCTTCCATTCTCCAATCTTTGCTTAGTTGCTAATACTGTTTAACTGGCTCAGTGATGGAACAGATTTTTTGCTTTGATATAGTGCCTCAAAAATAAACTCAGTAGGGATGTAGTTGAAGAAAGTAGGAAAATACTTGTGTATGCACTGTATATAAAGATAAGGTCTTAAGCTGAATTCTACACTTCTTCAGTGACAATATTCAAACCTTTATGCCTACCAAGTACTGAAGAACAGAAGAAAAAAAAAAAACAACTTAATCAGTACTTGTATTTGAGACTTAACATGCCAAAAGAAGCAACATGCAAAATTTAGTCACAAAATTTTTCATTCTCACTTGATCAATCAAAATGCAAAATGTGATGTTTATGCAAAGGAAATACTATAGATCATGTAAAATAGTTCACTCGAGCCTGGAAAGACTTGTCTAGAACTTTTCCAGAGGAACTGCATGAAAACAAATAACTAAAATCTGTTTTTTTCACCCAAAAAACATTCCTTGAAAAGCATGTTGCAGGGAGCAACAAATTCTGTGTATTTTCAAGACTGAACTCTGATGACAAACAGTTGAAGCACAAGACCTTCATTTATTCTGATTCTTCAAAGTTTTCCAAATGTCCTATTTTGCTGGCTTAGGCCCTACCTTTTTCCACTTCAACTATGGGTAATTTTTAGTGTGAGATTCTCAACCTACTTAACAATATTCTACTAAAAAGCATATTTTATTCATAAGCTATAGCCAAACATAATTTGAAGAGCATACAGGTCCCTAGACACGTTTTTAGTAGTTCTTTCATCCTTACATGCTCAAGGCAACATTTCTAGACCTTCCACAGAAATGACAATGATCTAAATTATTTTATCATAGCATTCACTGTGATATCTTTAGATCCAGTAACTACCCAATCACATACTCCCTGTGGAGATAAACAGACATATCTTCTTCAGAAGTGGTCAGTTCACTCACAGTACTTAGAAAGTCAGAAAGTTTGTTCCTTTAATATTAATGGCATTTCCTACTATGGAATCAAGTTACCATATTATACACCAAAAAATTTTACTGTTCAAAAAATCCCTTGAGGTCATAAAAGAAGATTACACTGTTAAAAAATTTTCCACATGGCATTGAACCTAGATTTAATAACATCCTAAGAAACCTGACAATTAAATAAAAAACAGTAACCTTTTCCCCATTAATGTCTCAACCAAAAATAAGTTTACTACTAACTTTAAAGAAAGTCTTACCATTTCAGTTTTTAAGTATTTTGGTATGCTGTTGTTTCTAATGGATCGAGACATATATATTTTCCACTACATGCATTCTTCAAAATACAGATGGAAGGGGAGTAAGAATTTACAAGACATAACATTGTTATACAATGTACTATACAAAAACCTGTCATTTAAGTTGCAAGAAACCTAGTCATCAATAAGTGAAAAAATACCCCGCTCAAAAATCAATTATGTTGAGTCTTTTGTATAGAGAAGTAGTACACCTTTCAGGCAACTGGTATTAATGAGCAGACATGGCTATAGAATCTCCATCTGTTTTTCTGACAAAGCTGTGACTACTCCAGTCTCTCATTGAAATTCCATTAATCTGGTGCACCAAGGACCAATGCGAAAATCAAAACTCCATCTAACCCTTTATCAGCTCACAATAACCTACAAGTGAACTCTGCCTGTTAGCATACAGCAAGTTATGATTTTGCTATCAATCAGGCTGTTAGCCAAAAAAAAAAAAAAAAAAAAATCAAGTTAAGAACTGAGTGCCTGGCAGTGCTGTTCTGTTTTGTCTGTCTTGTTTTGGGGTTTGTTATTTTATTTGGGGGTTTTGTTGTGTTTTATCCCTCTTGCAATTTCTGTAGCATGTCTGGAGATGTAAGCCTATGCATCATTCTCCTTCGTTGTGATTTAATTGCTGCCAGCAATCAAGTCAAAGCATCACTGAAGTGTGCTTGAATTTCATTAGAAGATATAACTTATGCTACTTTCCTACAGTACCTAATAAACCATAAAGAAACCAAAACACATATGGCTTGAGGGAATAACTGGAAAATTAGGTGGCCATTTGGGAACTGAGTGAACTTTTGAACCAGAGGAACAGAGAAAAAGAAATATTAAAAGGAAAGACAGACTTAGAATGCACACAGAGACGTGGAGGTTTGACCTTTTCAGTACCTAGAAAATTACATTAGCATTATGAAAAATACATATCATGTTTAGAGTTTATAATCCATCAAAGTTTAGATACTTTGTTAGTGCCTACCATAAGGTAAAAGTCAAAAGGACAACATAACAATCAGATTTGACAAAAGGCCTTTAGGTGACCTGTGCTAATTTAGTTATCCCATACTTATTGTTAAATGGATTATCTCTCTTGTAATTAATACACCATTAGACAAAGGTCACACAAAAACTCCAGAATTTTACAATGACTGCAATGTACATGTAATACACTAATTCTTTATCTGTTACCAAGCAGGTGCCTTCACAAATTATATTTTGACAGTAACACTGCAAAGTGAAACGGTGACACTTTCAGAAGTCATACAAACCTTGCAGTCTAACTCAAGTATATGAAGGTAAACACCTATTTTGTGGGAGTTTTTTAGCAGAAAAAGTATATAAAAGGTTTTTGATAAAAATATGAAGAGACTCAAATATAAATAAAGAACACCTAATTTGGTTGCGTACAGTGAGACCCCTCTGTTAATGCCAAGAGTCTTGAACCTACACAAACGAGGTTTTACACCTGCACGGAGCCCTGCTGAACTAAACTGGTCACCATGTAAGATCAAACGTCTACCTTGCAGGTCCAGCTTCTTGAGTAGGATTTAAATATCAGGCATTAACAGACTGCTAAAACACAAAAATACAGTGCTAAGCTTCAACAAACCCATTCATGCCTGTGAGAACTGAAACAAATGGCACCTCCGAGGATCAATCCACCTCTTACAAGAGTGTCCCAACAAACATTTTCATGTATAGCCTAGGTGGCCAGACCTGAATGATGGACTACACATTAAAATAAAAATGGTCTTAGAATGACACACTGGACATTCAAACACGAGAACAGAAAAACTCCTTCAAGAAATGAAAATATTTACAGATTAAATCTGTCACCTTTTCTCAATTTTTCCTCAAGCTGAGGTCCCACTAGATAATTAAAGAGAATTTACCATAAAACATAGAAAGACCAGTGAGGTAAAATCATCTTAAATGTAACAGAAACGCACCCACTACATTGCTACCTAAACTGGAACAAATTATCCAAGATACCGTTGGGCAGCTATATACCTAATTTTATAATTATAGCTTTCAAAATAGGCTAAAAATTAATCACCCATTGATACAAACTCATACAGTTTTTCACATACTCCGGCATCAGCATTCTTCAGCCATTCATTATTTAGGTTTATGAACATTATCACTTTTTTCTTAACGGTTTTGAAACAAATCTATAATCATATCTCCCATTAAATAGTCATACAATTTTGTCACATACCCTTTATGCAATCAGTACCATGTTATTAAGTTACAATTAGAAATAATGTTAAGATTATGTTTGTAAGCAAAAATAGATACATAGAAAGTTGCATTCATCTGTAGTTCAGAAAATTAGCTTGCGTTTTCTAAAAGCCATATTCAATTTGACTGATAATTACATTTCAACCAGAAAGCAAAAAGGCTTGTTTTTATTTTCTTAATAGAAGGTCGCATTGGCAAAATGCAACAAGCTCAACATTAAAAAAAAAAAGGAAGTGTGATTATTATTGTTACACATTTTACAGAGTTCTGGATATAAAAAAAAAAAAATTGGGTTATTCTGAATCAGTGGTTAGAAGGTTTATCACTTATGTATGTACTTGACTTATCCCTGTTCTGCAATAGACATAATTTTATACCTCATAAAAGCAATTTATGTTTCCAAAGGGAATAATCTGGATAACATAAAATGTGGAGTGCTATGTTGCGGGAAGCATATTTTCCTTCAGCAATTGTATTTCGAGATGGAGCTGCACAGTTTGATCATCATATCATGTCAGAAAACATCATTCACTAGTAAGTCTATCTAACTTCTAGTGCCAGAAATTAATATACATCGTTAATTTATTTGTACATATACTTAATTTATTGCCTTATATTATCCATAGAAGGTATTTATATTATGTATACAATAAACGAACCTCAAAAATATGGACACTACACTAAAGCAAGCTTGTTAACTGTTGAAATATTCAATTGTTCATGTCTTCAGAACAGTTGCATTTAGCATTAAATTTAATGAATACAAAATCAAACAACATGGAAAGAGCTACGGACCCTAGATATTTTTTTAAATGCAAACTCAAATTTAAAATTTATATAATGAAACCATCCTACAAAACACTGTCTTAATGGAAGGAAACATTGTAGGAATAATTAATTTAATATTTTATGAACCTATTCTGCATGGAGTTTGCAGGAAAATATCAATCACATAAACTGTTTCATTATTTATTAGATAAATAATACAGTAAGCCATTAAGTAGCACAATAAAATTAAGCAAGAATCTGATAATGTTGAATTAACAAACAATTTGTTACTACAAATATTCACACTGTTTTAGCCACTGATCTGTCTTTAAAAACATATACATCTATAGAAGATGCTTTGTTATGAAAAAACATGAGTTTGAAAAAAATCATGTAAATTTGAGACAGCTTCACTATGCTCTAGGACCACTAGAGAGAGCTCTTCAGTTCCTTTAAAGGTTCTTGTAAAGGTAAGAAAACTGCCCAGCTGTGATGCTTATCTGTTTATCTGATTTCCAACACTAACATTCGCATCACAGGGATCCGATTACACGAGTTTGTAGCAAACTGGCAAATCTAGTACATTCTAAGGTAAACAGTGTCACATACCATCCGAGGGTCCTTCATCCTCTTTATCGCATCGGTCAGACGCTATTGAGACACTATCAGGAGGCGAAGAAAAAGAGCCCTCGGACTCTTCCTCATCTTCCAATTCTGTAAAAGTTCAAAATACATTAATAGTTAAAACAGCTTATCATACATAGACAGAATCCAAAGGCAAATATTTTCGTTAGTAAGAAGGATACCAATTCTGATTTCAAACCAAAAAAATACCATTTCTCATGGACTCTGGTAACACGCGCCTTGCACATTCAAGCACAGCTGTGAGCGCTGCTGTTCTAGGGTTACCTTCTCACTGGCCACTTACATGTTGCTGGAGCCATTTCCCCTCCATCTAATGAATTGTCATATAATGAACCCTCTCCCAGTGCTGCACAGCTGACAGCTTCTCACACCGAGGAGGCGGGGTGGGGGGGGGGAAGAAAGACACCACAGCAAAGAGGTGGGCAAGGGGACAGGGGCAGTGCCAAGCCCCCAAGTTCTGCCTGTCCGACTGCGGGATGGAGTCGCAGCAAGTTCCCGCCAAGGAACTGCCAAACTACTTCTGGCAGCAGTTTGTCGCCCTCTGCCCACTTTCGCTTTTCTTCACCATAATTAGGCGCTACTTTGCAAATGTTGTGTGTGCGTGTGTGCATTCCTCCCATGAAACTGGAATCGCCTTCTCACAGCAGCCAGTCTGAGCCTGCAGCTTCATGCGGCATTCTGTCGATTAATTTCTTACACAACTGATTATATTACTAATATATAAAAACTACATTATTAGCTAACGTATGCACTACACTGATCAGTGTGCATTAATTGTGAAAGTCTGGAAAAGGTAAAGTGAAATCATTATTAGTCAAGGCTTTCACTTAAACAGACAAACTTTTAAGTTCTCCCTCCTAAAACTCAGTCCATTTTCTGATTATTGTTTTTCAAATCCTGCGCAGGTGAAGAAGAGGTGGAAGAATAGGAAATGCAGAAAAAAAGTTTAACAAACAAAAACCACAAAACTACACTGTTCCTTTTTTAAAAAAAAAATACATTAAAAATCAAAGTTTTGGTGAAGGCAGAAAATTCAATAACTAAATAGGATACTGCCACCAAACCCAAATCATAAAGCTGATGCTCCAACAGATCAAACGACCCTCAATTTTCTTAAAAAGCATATAAAGCTAAATTGCTCAAGCATTGCCTTTTGGTATATTCATACACAGAAAGCTTTTCAGAGACGTCCAGACATGCTTCTCTATTCACATACTCCCTTTTAGAGCACTGTATCAGGTAACTAATTTCTCAGAACCCAAAAAAAAGGCCACACATAGTGAAAATATTATTCTCCATAGACATAGGAATCGCATTCATCACTAGCACTGTCTATCCATGCCTGAAAGTTTTACCCCTTTGCTTTTTTAATCATGGAAAATCACGAAAAATTCAGTCTGTGCCCAAAAAGCACCACAGTTGTTGTCAAAGATCAGCAAGAACTGCAGGTAAGACAACAAAACCTGATTTTTGCTTTGCTGGAGTTCTTTTATATTACAAGATTGTTAAATACCAAACCGGTTTACCCCCCATTAATTTAGTATGCTTTTCTTGGGAAAGCTTCCTTTCAAGTTCCCATGCCATGTAACAACTGCTTTGAATCTGAACCTGACTCCAATCTATTTTTGACACGGCCATCTTCCAGTAGCACTCCAGCCATCGTGTTAATCTGACCAAAATATTTGCATTTCATCACACCTGTCAAACCAATCAAAACTAAATTATCCCTCTCCGGGATTCACTACTTCTTCCAAACAGAGAATGGGAGAGCAGATAGCACATGAACAGAAAATATTATGCCATATTTACAACTAGCATGATCATCTTTCATACTTACACGGCCAAGACCAGTTGCCTGTCTCTCTCTGTCTCATATACATCTTTATTAGGCAATGGACCCCATATAAAAAGAGCAGACCTATACACTATCAAAAATTGTTCCACTCTTTTCCTTTCCTAAACTTTTACTAGTATGAGAATGTATATAATATATATGTATGTATAAACTCTCACCTCCAATGCCCTGGTTGTCAGTCCAAAATGTCCTCTTATCAGCTATGCATAAACGTACTATCATTTAACCTTCATGAAGTGCCAGCATAAGTTTAAACTATTAGGCTGTATTTTTAGAGGAAAACATTTCCCCAAACACCATACTCCAGCATTCAAAAATTCATGGACTGAATAGTAAGAGTAAACCAAACTACATCTAAATGAGTAGCACTTGTGGATGACAAATGGGTGAGTATATGTGTAGAAAGAAGACCTCCAAATATTTTTGCCCCACTCAGCTATATAATCTCTTTCAGTGAAGTTGTGATTTCTCATGTAAGTTTCCATAGCTGCACTATTACCACACTCTTCCATTAAGTCATAGTATTACTATTTTCTAGTTATGCTAAGGATTTAAAATTCAGTAAACTTTTGTGCTTTGCATTCATATAAAAGCCAGATGATCTGGAAACAAGAGGCTTTTTAATACATACATATTTAGGGCACACCATGTACATATCCTAGGTATATACTGCATTTGAAACAAAAACCATAGGCAATGTAGAATTATAAGAAGTATCTCTTCTAAGTCTACAATATGCAAGTTCAAAAAGCTCCTAAAATAAAACAAAAAAAATTATTGAGGTATTATGAGGAAGGAAATTACACACTCAGTGGCTTTCCAAGAGTTTATAGTCTTCAAAGCATTCTCTAAATGTTAAATCCTAAATACAGGCTTGAAGACTTTGATGGGAAAAAAATCTCACTGAGAAAGACAATCAGAAGAAACATATAGAACCCATGTCATACAAAACTACATTTAGGTACAAACACTTTTTATGTGAAAAATGTGGAAAATAGGTCAGAGGTACAGGTAACCTGCAGGACTAGATTAAACCAAAATTTTTCAATTTTTTATCTTAGATTAAATTTATTTGTAATTTTATATTATACATTGAAATGCAATCCTTAACTCATCTAATTTGTTTAGAACTGCAGGCATTTTGATAGGAGAGCTGGACTTGATGTGCTCTGGAGCTTTAACAGGCAACGTTTCACAACCTTTTTATTTGCTGACATAAAAGAATGACTGCAGGCTAGTATCAGCCTCCTCATTCTGGTAGGGTTGAAAGACATCTTAGGATCATATGCTATTCATATATAAGGATATTGCTCCTGACAACTTATAGAGAGGCCTCCTGTTGATTCTGTGGGGTCTCCTGTATTCCCACTCAGAGTAATCTCTGCCCTTTCTCCACTTCACGTGCTCCTCTATCAAGGTGTTGCACCGCAGTTTATACTCCACCTACTGAGGAAGAATAGATAGAATTGCATTTGAAGCTTCATGTGTTACTCCCTGAACAGTCAGAGGAGTCAGTGTTGAGCAGCACAAGCCACTACTCCTGTCTTCAGGTGCCAAGTACCTAAAAATACACCCCAAAAGCATCAATAAATTAAAGAAAAGCATTCAACTTGCATTTATGTAATAGAAAACTGAACTACAAAGCAACAATGGGCATCAGGTAAATGTATCCAATACAATTTGCAGGCATAATTGAAAGCATTACTGCCTAATCAGACATCTAAAAGCAAAGCATGCTCAAACGAAATGTCTATAGACTCATTAGTTGGCAGCCATTCCATTACAATCACACATAATGTCAGTAGTGCCTTGAACCTGTGCCAATGACAACAGCATAAATTTTGCATCTCATTTCTGTGGTCATAAAATTAATGATCAGTTTAAAAATACTTCTTTGCAAAAGTTATTGCACAGAGAAATGACATGAATGTGTCCCTGTTATGTAGTCACAAGGATAATTAAAGAGTTGATGCTCATTAATATAGTTTCTTGGTTTCCCAGAATACCATGTGATTTATCTGTAAGTTGAAAAAAAGTTTAATCAACTGTAGATATGTAACAGTTACAACAATAACAGAAATATATATATGAACTGACCCTATTCTCCAGTTTCTGCAATTTACACTAACCTCTTACAGGTTTGAGAGCAGAATCAATATTTTATGTTATCTGTTAGAAAAAAACCACACCATACAATCTTTCCTTATTAAATGCTACCTTTTCCATTACAGCTTATTTATTGATTCAGGAAGTACTGCATACCAAAGGGTAAGTGTACCACATTAGGACTGGAGCACGAAACACAAACTCTGCTCATTCTAACAAGGGCTGCACTTCAGTCACCACCCTCTATGCTGAAGATTTCCCACTGATTTAGTTGGTACAAGCTGGATATAATGAACAGGACCGTATTACTTTATAAGAAGCCAGAGGAAAAAAAAAAAGAGAAAAAGAACCACAGAAAAATCCAGCCCTTCTTACCCCCAGGAATTAATTTTCTCTGCAACGTTGTGATTACAGTAATGAACTCCTAGGCATTAAAGACACTACTTCAGCCAGTAGATCTAAAAAAAGTGCAAGCAAGGTGTTTCAGCCAACGCCTCCATAAAAGGCTTGCTAGGTCAAGGTCCCCAGATCAGTATGCACTTTCATTTTGTTTCTAAAAGAAGTCTAGACAGAGTGATGCATTAAAATTGCTCAAGTGTAAGAGAAATAAAACAACTCACAAAAATAAAAAGACATGCGGGTTAAAACACCCTGCTCCTTGCCATTTCAGAAGGTCCCAAGTCACAGCAGGTTGAAAGCACTTCCTCCTGTCCAATCTCTGCTGCAGTAAGAACCCATGAAAGAAAGAGCTGGATGAAGCCACCAAGCACGTAAGTGCAAGGTTCTCACTACACAGTTTTTCACAAAATGTAACTAGACAAATTTGCTTTCAAGCTGGCACAGGTATGCTTTAGCCTCTTGAGTGCTGTATCTGATTTTTTAAGATGGTGCTATACTGAGCCAATCCACCACTCATCTTGCAAGACTGTATTCTTCTGACAGCCACTTTCCCAAGCGCCACACAAACCACTTCAACACCCACATTCCTTCTAGAGTCTCATATTAACATGATGGTTTTATTGTAAAGGCCAAGTAGGAATTCTTTAGCAGCCACTAGTTAAAACAATACTGAAACAGCATTAAGTTTGTAAGCAAATACGCTTCAAGCAAGAAAAGCAACACAACTTTTACTTGCTGAGCTGCCTCTTCTGAGCATGATGCACATCAGGGCAAGACCATTTTGTACTGCATTGGTGGCTGCATCTTGTGCTGCTTGAAACTGCAGCTGGCATGGGCACTTCACAGGTAACAGCTGTGTGCAGCTGAAAGGGACAACACAGTGATTTGCCTACAATGAAACCCTCCAGACTGCCAGGACAGAGTGGTACTTGGCACACTTCTAATGCATCTCATGGTCTCTCCAGAAATACATCACGATGATCCTCAAAGGACTAACAACCAAGCCATATCTTTCCCATTTATGGTTAAAAACTAGTGATGTATTTACACTCCTGATTGAAAGCTCAAGTGTGTTACAATTTGGAACTCACATCCACATACTGCTCTGAGGACCACAAGCTACTGCTTCCTTTTCTCAAGTCCAAAAAGACCCCTACCTGCTGCCATTTCCTGAAAAAAAAAAAAAGTGTACAGAGAGAAAAAAAGGAAGTATCACCTCCACACAAAACAGGAAAAAAAAGGGCAGAAAACACAAAGCCTTTGCATGTAGGGCTACTCTATCAGCTTGTCTGTTCCAAGGAAGCAGATGTCACAGGTTCCAGACACTCACTGCTCCATCAACAGCCAAAGAGGCATCCCAGTCATTTAAGGGTTTCCTGAGGTGCTCCCAATAATTACAGAGAGCACTGATGCTCTAGAGAAACAGGTTTATCTTCTGTTATACTACAGTGAAATGAAAGTGAAAGTGGACCTTCATCGGTTTTATCAGACTGAAAAGAGGTAGTTCAGCAAGTGTCAAATCATACTTTCCTGCATAAATAGCCCCAAAGTCGTGTGCTGAAGATCAGATACAAGGTGCACTAAGTGCTTTATGGGGAACTTGTTCTGCAAATTCCCATATTATGACTCGATTTGGCTAGTACTTCTGGTGTCTCACTTTCAACACTGAGCCAGAATCTTTTGTAAAAAGTGATTAAAAATATATATTTTACTAAAATAAATGCAAAGAACAGATGGCAAGTGAGCTTCAAACACAAATAGTTTCTAGGGCTTATAGTGCTTCTGCCAACTTTAGCACTATTTTTAGCATAAATTGAAAACAAGGTTCTTTTAACTAAACATTTTGGCAGCCACAGTATTGATTCAATTAATCTCAAAACAGAGAAATGCCAAAAACTGTATTAACTCAGAATTTTTGACAAAGTCCAGGCCTCTATATCCTTAGTGGAATAATAGTCTTATAAAAAAATAAATACAATTTCTGTAAGTTACCGTGGTTTTCAAGTTCTTTCCCAATTCTAAGATCTAGCACAGGTCACCCTGAGTGTGACTATGGCTTTTTGATTTTGCTTGAACTGCTGGGACGAAGCATCAAATATTTCAAGTGATAAAAAAAAGCAGCAGTGTCTTAAAGAAAAAGACATTTCTACTGAGTTCCTTAATTTAAGGATAAAATAAAAATAATAAATGTTTAACAATGTAACTCAATACATAAAAATAAATTTTATTGAAAGATCAGTGTTATGGATATCAATATAATTGTACATTTTTGGTCATAAGAACACCATGCACTTTCTTTGTCCATAAATCAACATTACACTTAACTGTAAAAGTCAGTGTAAAATCAGGTAACACATTGCACATGAGAATTAAATATTTTCCCTTACAATGAATTTTCACATGTATCAATTTCCCCTAAAAAGCTTCAGTTTTCAGTCTGTAGACACCAAAGATGCTTTTGCCAGCATATTTACTGACCTGACAGGCAACATAAGAAGGCTTATTTTTAAGAAGATGTAAAAGTCCTCGAGTTCATCAATCTGGCTGCAAAGCAGTATGCATGTGCTTTCTCAAAGTTAAGAGATATGCACCTGAATGATTTTGGTTTTAAGGAGCCTGGTTCTACCTCTGCACAGGCTCTTCAATTATTTTTTTATTCTTCTTTTAAAACCTTTCATCTCTATGGAAGGTAAGATTCTGGGTGCTCATGCCAAGGCCCATACAACAAGACCTCACATACAATACTTTGGTCAAACTGACCAGTCACTGCATGCAAAGCCAGTGGTTCAAGAACATGCAACGATGAAAGAGTGGAGTGACAAGCTGATGCCCACAAAGCACACTTGTGGAACAACTCACAAGCTGAAGGAGCTGCTGTTTGAGAGACCAGAGTCAAGTTTCATTATGTTCTACAGGAACTATATGAATTTTGCAAGTGTTAGTCTCCAAAAGATTCTTCTGGATGCCTCTGGAAAGATGACATGTCACAACTCACAAGATTTTTGGAAACAGCTGCTGCAGTATGATAGTTAATGCTTATGATAATTACTATACTATGATACTGCGGTGCACAGTACAAATCATTCTTCACCTTTTCTTTCAGCTACAACAAAGATTATTTGCATTTTCTTTGCATTAAAAAAATTGAGTAGCTGCTAATGCAAAACAATGAAGAGCAAATACGAAGTTTAAATGTGCACAGCACAGTTTTTAATCTTCCTAGTTTGTTTCAGTGCAGTTCCCACATTTCTGCTTTCACCCCTTCTTTTTTCCTAAAATATATTTTCCTTTTTCACCTTGTGGTTTGGGATATTTCTTCTTTCCATGGCAGTGGGAGGAACAAGAAAATGTCTGTTCATCACTGCCACCTCAGTTTTTAATCTTCTCAAATTTTCCATTTTTCAAATGTCTAGGTGTGCACAGAGGTATGAATGGGTGTAAAAGTTGACCTCACTCAGCTGCTGTCACTGCTTTGTTACACGAGTAGCTGCCCAAGAATCTGACTGCTCACCTCCATGTGGGTCCTTTGTTCTACACCTACGCAAGTCACACCTAATCTGTACAGGCCTAAAGTCAGAATGACACAAGCAAATAAAGTTTAGCACACACTCCTTGAACCCCGGAAATTACACCAACAACCCATACCACTGAACCACATTCCCTCAAATATTTTGCAGATTAGTGCAGGCTCTCGTATCTTGTGATTTTTTCATATAAATGCACATGAATTTGGAGAAATTTATCCTCACTTGCAGAAAACAATGGTATAACTTTAGAGCCCTCCCATTTTATTAACAAATACTGAAAGAAAACTAAAGCATCAGTATTCACAGGCTGCACCATCTGTACATAGTTCCATAATCTGAACCAAAAAGAGAAATTATGAGAATTAAAAAAAGCAATATATCCTTCTTAAGTAGCAAACATACTGAAATAAAAAGAATAAGGCAACACAATTTCACAGAAATCAGAGGAAGTTACATAGTAACAATTATAGGCTATATCAATTAAATTATCCACTTTACTAGAGGTAATGAAATCTCATCTTTCTTGATAATTTGTTGAATCAGAAAGAAATTCTGAATCAAATTGCCGATAAAGTAAATAAACTAGAATTTTCTTGACCTTCAAAAAAAAAAAAAGGTACCCAGTAAATGCAAACTCTGCTCTTTGTAGACAACTTTCATGTTTATTAGAGAGTCATAGCCTCAGAAAGTTATCAAATCTTCAAAAACATACTCTCCAGAAAGTCAGATGCATTTACAATCAAATGACCATCCCATAATTTCATGTTAGTAATTTTCTTAATAAAATAACATTTGGCTTTTCCACCAATAATTCTGTTGACCAGTGAGGAGAGGAGGGAAATTACATTTTAACTTCAGTGTTGAGGCGCAATATAAAAAAAATAGCAAATTATTTGAATACAATTTTTAAAGAATCACATAGTTTGCCTTTACAAAATCTTGGCAGTCTTGGGAAGTTTCAAGTTGTATTTTCTCTTTCAGTTGAACTGCTATGGCTATATAACTTGACTTAAACAGGGATAAGAAATGTATGAACTTGTTGTGCCTTGTTATAACATTACTTGCCTAATATGACTTACATATTTTCACTTTATAGGGAGGCACGCCATAGCCTACACATTTGAACCTTCTTGTCCAGAAACAGACAGTTCTTCAACTGCAAGAAGTGAAGCTTTGCATAGGCTTTTCTGACCTCGCACTGTGACCCTCATACCAGCATCCACAGGCTGTAGGTCATGACCTCAAGAATTAGCATCATGGAAATAAGAGCCCTTCCAGGTTTAGTTACAGAACAGAGCGCTGTAGCAACAAACTCTTCACTCTTCTCTAAACTGAACTCTGCCGCTTTGTTTTAAGGCCACTAGAAGACAATAGATAACCCACACTTCAGTTTTCATTACCCGTCCCCTAAATCGTCTCCTCTCCAGCTAAAGCTCTGAGCTCCTGCTGCACTGTGAAAACATCCATCCCGGGTGGATCGAAAGCCAATACCATATTGCCACTAGATGATCCTATTAAAAGGTTAAAGAAACATCACTGCGGAATGGAAGACTTTTGCAACGTTAAGAAAAAAAAGGCTGGAATAAGTTGTCGCTATTAAAATTTTATCTCCTAAGCAGGCTGCTTTGCATGTATCTCCTCTGAAAAAAATAAAAAAGACCCTGCAAAAGACCATGGGATGAAACACTATACTATTGCTAATTAAACCAGGCATAACAAGGTTCATTTATATTAAAATTCTGAACTCGGAGGAGTTTAATGAAGGAAAGGGGCCCCTGAGCGCTGGTGTAGCGGGAGCATTTCCCCGCGTCCCTCAGCAGGGGGAGCCAGCCCCCTCGGCCTCCCGAGCCCCCCAGCATCTTCTGCCGGACCCACCCGCACCCGTCCCAGTGGGCACCAACACAACACGGGGGGGGAAAGGGAGGGAAGCAAAAGCACGAGATTTACCTTTATCCTGGAATTCTTGAGGATAACTGCAAGAAAACAAGAAAAAAAACAACATAAAGCTTGCAAAATTCACAGTACTAGAACAGGGCAGAGAAAAAATAGCATTCAACAAGTTTTGCAGTTGATACTTAGCACTGCAAGCTTTCATTAATAATTTTTAAATCTTTTTTTTTTGGCTATAACATTTACAGTTTTTCCTTTGCCTTCACAGTTGAGAGAATCCTGTCACTTTAAAGAAAACTTGAACAAAAACAACCTTAGACAAAGCAGCCTTTTCTAGGAATATACATCTACTCAGATATCTTAACGTATAAACACACAAAAGCATCTTTAATTTTAGTAAACCTTCTAAATGTTAAAATATTTGAAAAAGTTTTGGGCACAAGTAAAAGCCACTAAGTGTACTTTAAAAATAACACAGTTGGTCAGTAGGAAAAAAAAAATACACAAATAGTGGGTCTGGTTCCAGTAATTTATGAAATCCAAATGCAAAAGCATTAATGATTAACTAGAAATTTTAAAGTTAATGCATGCCTAAATAAAAAAAAAATTAAAAACCCACCAAATAATATCTCAACTTATTTCATGCCTAAAGAAATAAAATAAAATTCTGTCACCCCAGTGGGAAAAAAGACTATTTCTTCAGAGCTAAATCTTGGTATTTCAGAAAGTAAAATAATCATAGGGTACAGTTTTATGTATAAAGATAAAGAATCGGGACAGAGTTATGTAAAATGGCATCTCAAGAACCATGCATGCACTAGAGTTTATGTGAAAAGAAAAAGATTTAACCAGAAATAGCTGGCAAATAAGATGTGGCTGCCAAGACCATCTTTATGGACAATAAGCAGTAGTGCATGTATCAGGCTAGTCAGTAAACAGATACTTACAAGTAATGAGTAGGAGAGAAAGGAAGGGTCTAGGGATAAGAAACCAAGATATGCAAACAGAGATAAAAGGCCAGATCTCAGAAATCCTGCATAGCAAGTAGCAGTAATAGCTAAGCACAGCCTGATAAGTGGGATGTGAACATGAAAAACAACTACAAAATGCATTTATTTTGTAGCCTGCGTGAAAAGTAAAACACTGTTAACAGTGAATAACATTTCAGCAGATGAGGAAGGAATTAGAAATTAAAACAAGGCGTGAAATCCTGGGGTCATGGAAGTGAACGGCAAAGGATTTGAAGTCAACTATGCCTGTAACTGCAAGTTCCCTCCTTTGATATTTCATCATTCAAAAAAAAAAAACCAAAACCATAGTTGAGTCATAAGACTTAAGAAAAAAGTCAGTAGTGCTGTATCTGCAAGTCATCTGTACAGCCCCAGTTAGCTCAATAATCTAGAAGAGAAAGCAACAAAAAAAAATCAGAGAAGGAAAATCCTGGTTGCTTAAGAAAAGTAAAAAGAAAAAGTAGATCCCCAAGCATTTGCAGCCTGAATCAAAGGCATATAAATCTTCAATTACAAAATTTTTGGGACATATCTCATGTCTTCCCACAGTTAGTGTGATACAAAGAATGATGTCCTCGCCAAATGATTGTGCCATCTTTCAAATCATAAACAAGTTGCCACAGAAGCAGGAGCATGTCATCAAAGCAAAGGCAAGGAGATATCCAACAGGAGTAATCAGTAGGAAAACACTTTGGAAAAAACAATGGGGAAAGAATAGCAAGTACTAGATTATATCCTAGTTGATTAGAGCTGTAAGAAAAGAGATTTTTGCAAAGAAAATTTTGTAGCACAAATAAAACTACAGCCAAATCTCTTTAGCTGAACTGTATGACTGAAATTAAAAACACAACAGAACAGAGTCTTAAATCACACCAGATACTAAAAAGAAAAAAAAAAACCCACCAAATACACAAAAAAAACCCCACAGCCCTCTGCTTGGTCTGTTCTAGTATTTCACTATTTTAACACTGCTGAAACAAACTTACGATCTACAAAGAGTTTCCAGTTATGTTTCAATTTTCCATTATAGATAGAGCTACACGACAGAATATACAGCAAAGCAAAATCAGCACTGAATTAAGCTGTTTTACACCAGCTGAGTATGGTGACATGGTGGTATGCTCATTCATATTATCAATGTGTTGTGTTTCTCCTATTTTAATGAATCTTACCAAATCGGAGCTGAAGGCAAGCTCCACCCAACCAGCTTGCAACCAGGGTTCAAAATATTACAGCAATTCAAATGGGACAAATCCTTCTGTTCCCATTTCTTACTAAATTGTAGCAGCTTTGAGAAAGATATAAAGATTTGAAGGCATGCAGATTGTTTGACAAAAATGAGGACCTAGACATATTTTTTCATTAAGAGTTATTCAAAGATTGTAAAAACGTGTGATCAGTAAGCAATTTTATAACATATTAAAGCCATGAAGCTCACTTACCTTGCCTTAACATCTTTTATCTTCTTAAGAAGAACTTCCCTTTTTTCTTTTGCTTTCTTGGATAGATTTTCTCCTTTTAGCGTTTGGGAAATAAATGTGTCAATATCTAAATAAAGAAGAAAAAAATACACTTTAAAAAAAAAGATAAATATAATAAATAGATAAATAAAAAGATAAATACTGCTGCAATGAGTTTGTCCTGATACTACTGTGAAAAAACTCCGAAAATTATTTTCAGGCCTACACACAGTGTAGTTAACAGACATTTCAGATTCTAAATGGGATACATTTGTTCTCTGATCTACTTATGCTTAGCGCAGCAAATCCTATGGTGACATTTGATTCTTGCTCACTTAATTATGCCACGTAAGTCCTAATAAATTGCAGTACTATAACAATTACTTTCCATCACCTAAAGTAAGGGATAAAGCTAAAACATGGAAATAGCCTTTACACATGTATTACTGTCATGTTATTTCAGAAGTTCAAGTTACAAAAGTGGTTGAGTAATTCATTATTTCAGCAGTAACACCTCCTCAGCTACTTATGTAGGTCACTTACTGGTTACAGTATTTTCAAATGTTCTCACATTGTCTCTGAACTCTCTTCTTGACTAAAAGTTCATATCCAAAGCCTTAATCCTGCAAACAATTAGGTAGGCACAATAATCACATCAAAGGAGTCAAGCCCAAGTGTGTACTTGAAGTTAAGCATACCTGCCCTTGTAGAATCACAAACTAAGGCTCTAACTTACATTGTACTTTTTTAATTCTTGTCCAGAACATACATTATTATAGTCATGTACAATCAAAGCATTCCATAAAAGTTACCATTGTTCTTTGTAATAGAGTAAATATCCATTCCACAGGGTAAAAACAATGCAGTGACTGAGAACTTGGATTAGCGTAACTCCTCCAGCAGTATGTTTTCTTGGTTAACAAAAGTTATTGCCAAAAAACAACTGTAAAAGTTTCCTATAGTTACCAATCAATATATGATTTTCTTGAAAACTGAAAAGTAGAAATATGACCAAAAAATCCTGCTTATTAACTTAAATTTCTCAGTTGTATGGATAATAACTGTTCATCGAACAAGGGAAATCATACATAAGCAACGAACACCCCCATACGGTGTCTGCCCCTAACTTAAATTTCTCAGTTGTATGGATAATAACTGTTCATCGAACAAGGGAAATCATACATAAGCAACAAACACCCCCATACAGTGCCTGCCCACACACACACAAACACACTTTGGCTCAATCTGTGTAGATGCAAATAGTTAGGGATAGTACAATTTTAATCCTGTAATTTTTCAAATCAGATGCAAGGTTCCATTTTCATAATGGAAATACAAAACAACCAATTACATACACAAATATTTTTATGCAAAATTTTACATTGTAAAACAACATTAAATGAATATTTCCTGCAGAGCTCCTAACTGAAAGCCTTAATTGCCTGGGGTTTTTTCTTTAGAAAACAGAAGTTCAACAGAAACATATCCCACTTCATATTACAGGCTGCAAGAAAACAAATTAGGTCAAAAGTTACTCTTTGAGAACACTAGCATAGCTATTACAAAGATTCCATTCTTTATAAATAATTCACCAGATTATTATTTAGATGTTTATATTGGCTTGCTGTCATCACAAAATGTGGCAAAAATCTTCATTTTGTAAAGCGTTCTAGAGTTCTGAAGAAGTATATTGATTCCCCTCCCCATGGGGAGAAGCTTCCCTACCATATTTTCCAAAACAGTCCGAAGAGGGGGGACCCACTCTCAGTTCTATGGCATTTCTTCTTTAAAAGGATGGAAGAAAAGGCACTTAATGAGTATTATTGAATCCTCCAGACACACCCCCAATAGCCTCTATGCCGTAAACCAAGCATCCCTGGAAACATTTTGTCTTAACCCAGAGAGAATTTATACATCTTCATAAATTCCAATGATTGCAATTTCTGATGGAACAGGCAAATGAGGACCCACAGGACATTGATCCCAAGACACTGACCATCTACAAAACCTCCCTTAAGTCAAATGACCCAATACTTTTACTACTGAGGGCAAAAATCAAAACTGCCAACAGTTTTTTCCCCTCAATGAAACCCAATCAGATTTTCCAGCACCAACCAACCTTTCACTCCAGGAGGGACATGCTGATTAAATATTTGTTCCTCCATCCTTTTACCTATTTATTTCGAAAATTAGATAGCAGTTTCAAAGTTCTACCTAGGCAGCAATATGTGAAAGCTTAGAGGAATTAGTAATGTTTATAAATAAGGAGCTTGCACAGTAATTAATCACAGGATTTTGCCTCAGCAGTCTGTATTTGAACTCAGTGGGCTTCTTCACTTCTTGCAAAAGCTCAAAACCCAGCTAACAATTCAGTCATATTGGTTTTGACTGACTCTCCAAGCCTTTTTCAAACACAAATGTTGAGATAACTTGGTCTCTTTTCCCCAGATACGCCTTAATTACATTATCAGAAGCAAGACTGACCACCTCCGACTTAGAATGCACTGGAGATACAAACATTTGAGGACTAACTACGTTGTTGGCAAAATCTGTTCTTTTCTAGAAAAGTTTGAACTTCAAAAAGAGAAATAATGCAGAATTTTCAACCATAGAGGTACAGGGCTGAAGCAGATGGTCCATCTGTTCTCAGCAAAAGTAGGTGATGAGATAGAGGAGAGGGGGAAGGAGCGAGACAGAAAGAGAGCAAGCATGCACAAGCTCCTGATACGTTTGTTGTTTCTAAACAGCAGCAGCAGTTACAGAGAAGACACCCTCAGGATGGCCTCCCTCTCTTGTGGGATTGTAAAACAAGCTCTGTGAGCTTAGGTAGCCACAAACAGAACGCACTGTACTCATCCTGGAATACTATTACTTCCATATGTCCAGAGAAAGCTTATAGTTTGATTCATCACAACCCCAAAATATGAAGACAGACCTGATGTACACATGATCTTCAACAGGATGCTAAAGAAGCAATATACTTGGGAAATTACACACTACTGTATCGTAGATTTTCTTATCTAGTCACAATTACACAGAATGTTATATATCTTGCTCAAGCCCCCTTCTGATCTAACGTTGTAAATCCATCCAGGATGTGCCACATGCACATGAGTAACTTATCCTAAACTCACCAGGACAAGAAGCAAGGAAGTTATCTAAGTTAGGATCATCTCTTCACTACCTGTACTTCCACACTGTGGAAGAGTATGGAAGGAGCAATCCCTGCTGTCAGTGTGAACTTCATCACTGGCTTAACATAAAGGAAAGTTCACTCAATTCCTATGACATTCCATGAAGTGATTTACCTTAGAACAAAACCAGAACTCGGGATCTCAGTATGACAGATGCAGGTCTCATACAGTGAACTTCAGACAGAAGCAGCAAAATTTACCCATTTCTCTCCGCTATTCTAGTCACTTACTTGCTCTTCCTTCTCTCAGAAGATTCAAAACTTGCTCTCTCCTTTGCTAGTTTAATGCATGCAGAAAAGGAAAGTGTAAACTACTGATGACGAGTATTTCAGTGTAGACATTTTTCTTTAATGCTTCAGTAGCAGTTGGTCCATTGAGAAATTTAAAAAGTAGTAAATTCCAAAAAGAAAACCACTTTGAACAGATTTCTGACTTAAAAGCACTTTTACTGATCAGTTACCACACAACAAACCAGAAAAAGTATCTATTTCCGTACATTGTTTGTTTCTAACAAACTAAGCAGCTATTTAGTATCACACATGGCATAGACTCAGCTGTTTCCACTGAAAAGACTAAAATTCCAAAGAGAAATAAACTTTGGAAATGTATTCAACACCTCTTAAGTTTTTTTTTAAGCTTGTGTGTTAGACTGTCTGATAGCTGGACTACCGATATTTGATGCTCTGTTTCGTAAAGCTCATGATTTTAACTTTGTCTGAACCATAACGCAGAGAAATTATTTGCCTCCATAAATGAACAATAGCTGCTGAACTGAAAGATCCGATTGACACCATCCACTCCCAGATTGCTCCGTCAGTACAGGTTACAAACCGACAGAAAAAGGAAGTCACACCCCAGTCTAGCTCTGACCACTTCAACCGGCTCCAACAGTTCAAAGCTTAATTGCAAGTTCATACAACAGTCAAAAGCTAAAAGGCCATTTTAATTTCATTTTCATCTACATTCCTTTTACAAGCAAAAAAAGCTAAGATTTATTTTGCTTTTCATTGTTAAAACATTTTGTGGTTCTCCTTACTCCAATGATTATAAACAGACAACACCGCAAGTTTTTCATTGGTTTAAGTCTTACGGGCTATTTTCTTTAATGAAGTCTGAAACTACACAGATGGGCTTTTTCCAGAACAGTGTAAATTTTTAGCCCAAAGCAAGTGCTGCATTAAAGAGTGCTAATCAAAACAAATCATAGCACTTCTGTTGTTTACAGGGTTTAACGTTGTGATCATAAGTCACACTTAATAAACAAATATACTTGGGGCAGAACTACCTTATTTTTATGTCAGGGTGGGCCAAACAGACCCTGAGAGGGGCACTCAAAGACTGTGTCCCGGGTCTTCCTTTCTCCTCTCCTTCTAGAGAAAACCAAAATGTTGTCTATAACATTATCAGAAAATTAGTCACTTCTTCATCACCTGATGAGCTCATGCCATTCAAGTGACAGAGAACAATTATAAACTGGCCATGAGATAGGTGTGTTTCCACTCACGTGGCAGGGCACGCCTGCAGCTCCCTGTCCATGACCCGAGGAGAATGCAGGCTCCTGATTTGGGGCTGGAGACACATCCGTCATATGACAAGGGACACTTGCAGGGAGTCACCTGGTGGATGCGCTGCCAGTCACCCAAGAAGGGAATGGCAGGTCAGCAGAACAATTCCTCCAGCCACCAGCCGTTTCCATCTCTCTCCTCTGCCTCCAGGACTGAGGGAGCCAGAAGCCGGCTGCAAGCCAGAGAATTTGGGAAGGCAGGCCAGAGAATTTTGGAAGATAGCTGGCAAGCTAGGCACATTTGTGCACACACACTGTCCAAAGGCCACCAACTTCAAACAGACTGCCACGTATCTTTCAGCTTCACATGGGCAGGCATTAGAAAGCAAT